CACTCAAGCTTTATTAGCGAAGCAGGCCTGAAGGGTTCTGCAAGCCCCCTCCTCTTTGTGCGTCAGGGTCCTCAAGGCCCGGTATTTCAGCGAGGATACTATCTTGACAGCAACCTGTCCGGCCACGGCTTTGTACACTTTCCAGAGTATATTGCATGGAAGAGATCTACTTCGGGAGGGTCTAATTTGGCGTATCGGAGATGGGTCTCAGGTGCGCATACACCATGCCAATTGGATCCCCCGAAATAACATTATGAAACCTTTGGGACAAGTATATATGCCCGGGGTCACAAGGGTAGCTCACCTTCTTACCTCGGATGGCAAGAGCTGGAACGAAGGAAGACTTCAAGCCATGTTCACGCCGGATGATGTCCAGGACATTAAGCAAATCGCGGTAGGTGGACCAGGCCGGGATGATTATCTTGCATGGAACTTCACGAAAGATGGACGCTTCACGGTCAAATCGGCATGTCACCTGAAGATGTCAACCCTACGAGCAAGGTCCGGACAGCTAGAGGCCTAAGCATCATGGATTCATGGCGCTATGGGATACACAAGTGCCAGCCAAGGCCAAGATCCATATGTGGCGACTTATCAAGAATGGTTTGGCCGTGGGAGCCGAACTTCATCGTCGTCGGATTAACCCGGAGTTTTTTGTGTTGCATGTGGAAGAGAGGAAACTACGTATCACAGATTCTGGGCATGTCAACATTCCGTTCTGTTTTGGCAGCTTCTACACTCGGAGAGGGGAGTTTCGGCGGCGATCCCACCGTGTCAGGTTGGCTCCCAGAGTGCTCTAGCTAGCTGGCTTTTCGAATGGTTCTCGGGTGCGTCTGGCGAAGAGAGGGAGATGATGATACAGGCTACATACGGACTGTGGCTAGCTACTGTTGTAGCTCACTTACAGGAGTGGAGGGTTGTGCATCCGGTGCAGCAGTAGCCAGCTGTGCCAAAATCACGTCAATAGTGGTAGCCACCTGATGAGGGATGGCTTAAACTCAACACGGATGGTGCAACGTCGCGACATGGTGATAAAGGAGGAGGGGGTGTTATGTTGAGAGATCATCACGACGCCTTTAGGGTTGGGCTATGCCATCACTTCCCCAACATTGTAGATCCAGAAGCTGTGGAAATCTTGGCCTGCAAGAGGGCTTTGGAGTTGGCTCGGGAGGTTAATGCGGAAGGGTTACATGTCGAGCTTGACATCCAGAGTGTGGTGAAGATGCTCAACCAGCCCATGAAGAGCTTGGGCATTGCTGGTCCTTGGGTGGAAGACATAAAGATGATTTTTTTTTTAGATTGACAAGGGGGCAAAAAACCGCACCAGTTGTTATATTCCAACTTGAAGGTGACTTGGCGGTCAGTACAGATACAAGTAAGCGTACAAAGTCGCAAAATAAAATTACAGGGGAGGGCAAGAGAAAGCCCAAAACTAGAAGAAAGAAACAAAATGGAGGGGAAGGCTGGCAACAGAACCAAATCGAAACCCCTAGAGGCCGGCAACTCGGGTAGCGAGCTCCGCTGAGTAGCTTGTTCCACCCCTGACGAAGAACCACAACTAGGCCTAGGGAGAAACATATGGACACCAGACCAACAACTCACAATGGAACATCACAGGCACGAACGAAGGGCGTCGGATAGCCGAGTTCGGGCGGCGACACCGGTATGCGCCGGCGAAGCCAAAAGACAACGCACCACCGAGACCGAAGGGCGCGGCACCGGTGTACCGCCACCGAGGTCAAAGGGCGCGTGCTGCCGAGGCCACCCCAGGATGTCCACGTGAATGTCGTTCAGGCCACCATGAAGCACAGCCCTGACGGAAAGGAGACACCGAAGTAGAAGCATACTGAGAAGCATCACTGGCGCGAACGAAGATCGTCGGATAACCGAGTTCAAGCGGCGGCACCGGTGTGCCGCCGGCGAAGCCAAGAAGGCAATGCGCCACCGAGACCGAAGGGCGCAACACCGGTGTACTAGCGCCGAGGTCGAAGTGCAGCGTGTCGTCGAGGCCACCCCAGGATGTCCAAGCAAGCTCCACTCGAGTCGCCAAGAACAATGGCCGGCCAAGATCGAAGCCAAGGTGGAGATGAAGCAGCAAGAGGCGAGTCCAACCGAAGTAGAAGAAATCCAAGAAGATGCCCCCAAGGAGGAAACGGCGTAGAGACGTCGACACCATCTGACACGGGGAACCCCGGGTCCGAGATTTCTCTCGGGATCTGAGAGCTTGGGGGAAGGGTAACAATGCCAAACTCGACACCTTCAAGAAGGGAAAATGGCGACTGCAGCCATCATCGTCGATGAAGTTTTCACCCGGCAATGCCTCCTCCACCTCGCAACCGGAGCAAGCCAACCACCACCGTAGCCCATCGGTCTAGGCAGCCATGAGCTGCGAAGCGAGCTACGGAGGGCCAAAGAAGAAGCAACATATCGGGCCGCCGCACGCAGAACAAGGCGAGGCCGAGGTGCACCACGGCCAGCGCGAGGCCGCAACTAGAGAGCACTGGGAGCCGGTCGATGAGGCCATGCGAACCCGCCCGATTTGGTGCAGAAGAGCGACCACCAGGAGACCGGCGACGGCAGATGGACGAGTGGTGGGGCCCACCTAAACCCGTCTTATCTGGCCAGAGATCGGCAATGGCCTCGCGAAGGCGGCCAGCTGGGACCCCATTCGCGACGGGGAGGCAGGGGACCGGCCAGGCGGTGCACTAGCCGCACAGATCAAGCAAGGGGAGGCACCGAGGCGTAGATCAAGCCGCCGGCAAGGACGAGGTCGTCGGCCGGAGCCCGAAGCAGCCCGCCGAGAGGCGGCGAGGACGCGTGCAGCCGCCGCGTGAGGCGCCTGGGAAGACGCGGAAAGGAGCGCCAGCCAGGGGAGCTTCACCAGACGACGACGGAGACCGCCATGGAAGTGGGAGGGGCGGAAGTGGGGAGGAGCCGCACGGGGGCTACACCTGACGACGTTAGCCGGCGGCGGCGAGGAGAGGTGGTGGAGGAGGGGGTCTGACGACGGGGGTATTGGGGTTCCGCCCGAGTCGCCTCTAGGAGACGACGCGGGGGCCTGCCATTTCTCTGGTCGTGCGTCGACATAAAGATGATGTTGCAATTGTTTGCAGGTTTTAAAGTGTTTTTTTTTAGCATAGCATTTTTTTTAGCATGGTTTTAAAGTATTTTGGATCGGTGTTCAGCCGATATTGCTGCGCATAAATTTGCTAGAGTAAATGTTTGAGATGAATTTTGTAAGGTTTGGTCAGGGGCTTCCCCGGACTTTGTTGCTGATGTAATCTCGGATAAATAAAGCGGCGATATTTTTCCCTAAAAAAAAGCGAGATTCCCGACCGACCCGATCACAAATTCACGGTACACTCGACCCGTCTCGACGGCACCATGAGCTGCAGCACCAGCGGGCACTTCACCGACAGCGTGCTCGCCGAGGTCGTCATCACACCGCCGTACCTGTACCGCACTTTTCCGTCGAGCCACAGGTCCACGGGGAAGACCGCTGCCGTCAGGTCATCGGCCGAGGTCCCTTGGAGCACGGCCCGCACGCGGTCCGCGCAGTTCGCGGCCTGGAACGACATGGGCAGGGTGATCCGGTCGAAGCTCCGGCCGCGGTAGATCCCCTCCGCGTGCAGCAGGTCGTAGTAGACGGCCACGCGCCTGTTGGGGTTGGTGATGATCAGGCCGGCGGTGAGGTTGAACGACAGCACCGGCGGGGCCGTCGTCGAGTTCACGACGACCCGGGACGACAGCGTCGCGGCGTGGACGGCCACCTGGACCCCGCTGGGGCGGTAGATGAGCCACACGAGCAGCGCGACGACGCCGGCGAGCGCGCACGCCCCGACGAAGGCCAGGATGAAGATGCGGAATGGGCTCAGCCGGCGGCGCGGTGGAGGAGGCTGGGGCTGATCATGGTCAGGGCGGGGGGAAGCGTCGGCGGCTGCTGGCACGACGCCGACGCCGTGGGCGGGCGCGGCGCCGGCGCTGTAGCCGTAGGCGTGGATTTCTTGCGGCGGCTGCTGCATGGCTGGAGGCAGATAAGGCGACGTGACACGACTCGCACGAAGAAGATATATAGTTGGGCGACGTTGTATTTTTTTGACAGGCGAGGACGACGTTATAGAAGGGTGATACGATGCTGTGGCGTTGTTTCAAGGCTAGATACAATGCCGGTGCAACACGTATGGCAAGAATCCGACGAGACCTTCAAGGCTCGTAGCTGCAGTACAGCTGTTTTAAGTGCACGACGACAGGAGATGCCTAAGAAACTCCGGCAGCACGGACAAGAAGGACAGAGGGTACAACCGTGGAAGTACGCAGCGAAGTCTAGCCCAACTACTTGGAAATTGATAAGCGTGGATGAAATGGAGCAACGACAAGTGATAAACATCAGGAATAGGAATCAGAGTGTGAGATGCAGCAACCGAAGCTTGCTGACTGGATAATTAGTTTGCGCTGCTACTGTGTGGGGTGGGACAAGAGTTGTCCACAAGCAGAATATACTTGACAGCAAGCATAACAAACACACCCTCTCGAATCCGAGCAAGTTTGATAAACAGATACTCCCTCCGTCCAAAAATACTTGTTATCAAAATAGATAAAAAGAGATGTATTTAGAACTAAAATACGTTTAGATCCATCCACTTTTATCCATTTTGATGACAAGTATTTCCGGACGGAGGGAGTAGATAAATAGTGGGCCTTTAATCGCGTGGCAAGTGTGACAAGCAAGTTTGATAAACAGATAGTAGATAAATAGTGGGCCTTCAATATGCATACCTTGGTATGCAGATTTAACATTATTTTTTACATGTCTTATTTCCGTTTACAAGTCTAGGCTATTTACAGAATGTACCGTATACAACTGGGAACCACTATCACACAAACATGGGACTAATATACATATAGCACGTGAAATGAGGGGGCCTGAGGTGGTCAAACTTTACAGATTTCGATATTTCAGGGCATAAATAAGAAAAGAAAAAGGTTAATGTTACGGGCACTCACGTTGAGCTGCGACTCGCTTCATCATTCATCATCCCTTGAAAACTTCTGGCCAACCAGATCGCCGTTTCTCGCGGGGACACCTTAGCCTTCCCGAACGGCCTCAGAACCACCGCAAGCTCCTCCAACCTGTTGTTTTCCAGGAGATCGGCAGAAAGCTCCAAGAGCCCTTCAAGAGCCTCAGACCGTTGCCTGAAGGACTTGACATCAAGCATTTCCTTTGCTGAGGTTGCCAGTATTTCCTTTGCTGGGGTCGCCTCCTCCTTAAACGCACCGTTGGTCTCCGGAGAAGTAGAATTTGCTTCTGGGATGGCGGGCAATTTTGCCACATCTGAATTGGCGAGTTTCGGACCGATAGTATTATCTTCTGAAATGTTGGGCTTCACAGCGGCAGAACCAATAAGTCCGCAAGGTATAAGGCTTGGTGTGATGCTTCTCACATCCACTTCTTCTTTTATAACATCGCAAAGTTCGCCAACATCTCTGCTTTGGGCTTCCATTTCAGCATTCCCTACTGCCGGCTCATCACTGACGCTGAAACCGCTGGGCCTTATGACATGTATAATGTCCTCAACTGGAGGACTCAAACAAGGAACTGGTGATATCTCTGATGAATGATTGACGGAATTGGATCCTTTGTCCAATGCAATTGTTTTAGTTGCTGAAGCATCAGGAGCAATGTATGGTACTGATGAGAGCAGTTCTTGTACTGTGAACTTATCTTCCTCACTCTGTACAGTGATAGTGGGAGTGCTCTGCACCATCTTACTGCAGGGAATATCATCCTTGCAAATAAATTCTTGCACATTTGTATCAACAGATGGGTCCAAGGCTGAGCTTACACTACTATCATCATTACTAGCCATACTCTTCTGCAAATTGGTGGTGTTGAGCTCTGAGCTTGGCATATCAGTTTGATCATGCTTTTGTATGGCAGTGTCCAGGGTTGAGCATTTGCAAGATGAATCCAAGTGGGTTAGTGAATCAGGTTCAGATGGTTCAGACTGCTTGGTGCTGTCAGCATAATCAATCATGGAACTGGAGCAAGCACTGCTAACTTCTTTGGTTGCTACATCTCTGGGTGGAGCACATTCCGCCTGTGAATTGCCAACTTTCATTTGATTACCCCCCAGGGGGCTTGGAGGAGCCATTAGAACACCTGGAAGCTCAGTAAAAGCATTTTTTGGACTATGGACAGGTCGAGAAGGGCTTTTTGCATGCTCTATGGTGACCTTACTGTGAGCTCGTTTTGTCCCAGTGTGCTGTGGACTCTCTGCTCCCATTTGTCTACGGGGAGGGAAGCTGGTGCGTCTACTAAAACTGAGTAGAACCCTATTCTTGACCTTCCCTTCAGCAGCATCAACATCTTCAATTGTCTGCTTGGTAGGGTCTAGCTGCTGCGGCTCATCCGCTTTGACCTTAATTTTTGGAGAATGTTCAACAATTGGCGACTGCATGACAGGATCAGAAGAAAATTAGCAACAAAAAAAAGGTGATTCAGCACAAAGAAATGATTAATCCTCATTCCTCACCAAATGCTTCAGGGGAGGAGATGCTTGTATGTGTTTCACAGTATCACGGTTGACCTTTGCTGGTGCATGTGGCGTCACTTCACTAGATTTTACACTGGAGGAAACACTGTTATGCTCTGAATCATCAGACAAGAGCTCTCTGTGACTAGGTGAATGTAGCTTTACACGGCTAGCTCTCAAAGGTGAATTGTTTACCCTGAGCTTACTAGTCTCCTCTCTTAGAGTTGTTAGTATCTTCTTGATGATTTTTGGCTGCTTACTCCCGTATTTGGGACGCTGATCAACATGTATGGATTTAGGTGAGTCTTGTCTCTCCAGTTCAGGACTATCAATGTCCTTATGGCTTTTAAGATCACGTGGTGTTGAACATGTTTTAACTGACGCATCATCAGTAGCTTCAGCACCTTCAGTACCAATGGTGGTGTTGTTGGAACTTGTAGCTAGCCCTGACGTGTTTCTTTCACTTGATTGTATACTGTCCAAATCACTGCCAGTGCCAGAAATGCTGCTACATTGGCTCCCAGACATGCTCCTCCGACTGCTCCGTGAACTGGTAATGGATTTCCCTGGTGATCGCATGGGATGCGGTACAGCGGTAAATGCGCGGTGCTGATCAACATAAGGTTGCAGATATGGATTTTTCAGAATATCAGATGCCTGTTTACAAATAGTAATAAATAATTAATGTCAGAATCGAGTAAATTTGGTAAACAGGGATTGTAGTGAGATTCTATGCGCATAGTAACTTACAGTAGGCCGGTGTTCAGGATTCTTCCTCAACATGCTTTTGATAAGCGTTTTCCTGCAAGCAACGGCCAAAGGGGAACCTTTTAGCTAACAATGGACTAGGAAGCTCATCAAAATATGACAATAGAACAATGATGTTTTGTAATGGGATAAAACGTGCTGCATTTTCCAGCAGACATCGCTTGACTTTGAAGAAGTTGAAAGACAACGTATCTAAGAATTAAATGGTAGGTTTAGAGAGGATAGAATGGTCCATAATATGACAACAACAGATATGACAATAGAAGTCTGAAATTACTTTAAACAAGAGTGATAAGGAAAACCAGAGTACCAGACTTCCATGCATGCCTACAACTCCCTCCGTTCCTAAATATAAGTCTTTTTACTACATACGGAGCAAAACGAACAAACCTACACTCTAAAATACGTCTATATACATCCGTATGTAGTCCGCATTGAAATCTCTAAAAGAACTTATATTTAGGAACAGATGGAGTATATGTAGCATGAAGGTGCACTTACATAGATGGAGAGTAGCAAGTAGGTATAGGGCCAATGGAGGAGCGATTTATTTTGCTTATCAGTCCAGCCATATCCTGAAAGGAGCAAATTTAAGCACAAGTAAGCTTTTACGATTTCGAAACCAATAACGCCATCACAATGGTAAACTGTATTCACTAGTATGAACATTTAAGGGAAACCAATTACGCCATCATAATGGTAAACTGTGTTGACTGTATGAACATTTAAGAGAAAAAATGGAACAGATACTACAGTCCAGCAATTCGACAAAAATACCGTGCAGGGAAACTAATAATCAGCATCATTTTTTCCAAAGAAATCTTGACTTCGAGTTAGTTTAAGTAAACATGGATCTGCGTAAAAGCAAAATATTCATACTTAAGAGAGAGCAGTAGACCTCTTCAAACATATTTTTGAAGGTCAACAAGACAAAAGATCTGCATCATTCACATAAATCCAGAAATGAATTTCCTGGATGGATCGTGGATAAGTATGTTTCAGTATGGTATGAATATGGAAAGAAACCCATCCTTCTCTTATAGCACAATGTTAGACATGTGCATGAAAATTGCACACGTGCGCGCACACACTCACACACACACACAAAAGTCGATATTGCGAAGAGTTCTACACAGAATGAAGACATCAGTGCTTCTTAATTGTCGAGTGGTTTTCCTTAGCTGACTTCAATGAATGTGAATAGAAGTGGGGTCATACTTCCTTCGCCTAAAAGAGAATTTAATTTAGCGGCTCTTTCTAAAAGGCGTGAATGCAAATAAAAAACAATCCCTGGATAAGCCTCATGGCCGGGAGGTCTTCTTAATAGAAGGGACAAATTATTCAATGCCGATGCAAATGCCACAACCTCTCAAATGGAAGCTACCAATGATCACTCTTTCCCTACTAATAAAAGAGGCTGGAAGCCATACGGTCCTTACATTGGGTTCGTGGCCATTTGTAATGCCACAAGAAAGTGCACTTGAGGTTTTCTATATGTTCCATTCTGTTTGTTGATAGCAACTACATGCTTTTTTGAAGTATTCTAGTAAATCTTATCCTTCTATGGGGAGTCGGCAGGCACTTTCTAAATACTACAAGCTATGTAGCATTGATTACAAGCTATGTAAAATCCATGGAAATATAATTACTGCTAGGTAGGAGATCGTAGTGATATAAGAACATGAGCTGATAAGAACTCACAAAAGCCTTGAAAGCAGGTCGATGAGCAGCCATCTCATACATACAACATCCTGTACAGATATATACCAGTTAAAAACTAGGCTATATGACATTGCTTTTTAGAAACAAGGTTTATAAATAAAGCCAAATGGCATAAATTTCCTAAAGTATCTCCATAAAAGTAGGTAGTTACCAAGAGACCATATGTCTGACTTGAATCCATAAGGAATGTCGGTAAGAAGCTCTGGGCACATGTAATTTGGTGTCCCAACAACCTAAGAAAGCATCATGCTAACATATTAGATTCAGGGAATAAAACAGAACATGATTAATCAGTATCTGTATATGAGATAGAAGGATATCACAGAGAAGTTTACCGAAGATGTTAGATCATCTGCCTTTAAGGTCTTAGCAAGGCCAAAATCCCCTACAAGTAAACTAGAGATATTTAAACTCCAGCAATGAAGCATTGCAGAGTGCAGACGTAATAATAGATAAGAGTTATTTGAGTCAATGTGAGGCACTAACCAAGACGGATGTCATGATCTTTTGTGAGAAATATGTTTGAGCACTGCAGAAAGGACAAGGACATGCTATATATTACTGGTTGCTTGATGAACTAAATGACAGCATCATCCCTGTTTGTCACTTACCTTGAGGTCCCGGTGCAAAACATAGTTCGAATGCAAGTAGTCAACAGCTAGAGCCAATTGAGCAAACCATCTCAGCAGTTTCTGATGGTTGTTCACAACAGTTAGCACACTTCTGAATATTGCTTACCTAAAGCATGAAACAAAAGGAGTTGAAAAAAAATCGTAATAACCTCTTCTGGGAAGTATGTCCCATTTGCCTTTTTCATCAGTTCAGCCCTACCAGAAAGAACACAGCAAAACAAAGAGTCAACAGGAAGTGAACAACAAAACATAATCTCCCAGACTCCCACTATCTGTAAATTACACTCACACATCGCCACCTTCGCAGTACCCCGTCACAATGCAAACGTAGCAACCCTGTAGTCACTCGCACAGAGTAAGCCAGAGGAAAGATGTAACTAACAAAACAAAAGGCAGATGTATGCATGCTCCTAGAGAACAAACCTTCTCAACCCATGCCTCCTTGAATTCAACAGTGTAAGGATGTTGAAGGCGGGCAATAAGGGCCATCTGCAATTTTTCTTTCATGTGTCAGTTCCTGAAATCGATACTAATCGATGAACCAGTAAAGCCTTACAGTTTGTGGTGCTTCACTAACCTCTTGATGAGCAGACTTGCGGCAGCGCTCTGTTTGCCTCGCGAGCCGGATTTTCTTCAGCACATACCTGCAAATCAATCATATATCAATCACCTTTCTTTAAGGTTCAGTAAAATAGTAAAAATAGAAGCAATCCTGCATCATACTTTTTTTTCTCGGTCTTGTGGTTCACCAGAATGGCGGCACCAAAGGCGCCACGGCCAATCTGCTCCATAATCTCGTATTGATCCATCCGTGACTCCATGGTGCCCAGCATCTTGAACACAACTGCCACCGCAAAATTCAATCTCTAATGCACATATCTTGTACACGACACAGTTCCGATCAGCTCCACGTCCTAGGCGATTTCTGCAAAAACATATAAATAAACAAGCATAAATCAGCCAAGATCAGCGCACGCCTTGCGTTCGAATTGATCAAACCCCTATTTGTTTCTGTATTTTGCAAGGGAAATCCTAGCACCTAATTAAAATTAGAGAAGAAACAGTAAACAGCTAGTCACATACTATCATCTGGGCACACAAGTCCGTGGGCGGAGTTTAGCGGCTGTACTTGGCACAGGAAAAAGAGTAGAAAGCCATTTTCACGCGGAAAAGCGAGAAGTTGGGCAACTGTACTACCGCGCAGTTGGCACCAACCGCCACTGGCCGGGACAGACAGGGACCTTACGGCGGCACCGCTACGCCGGCATTGGCCGGCACGGGCGGGGACTGCTCCGGCCACGCTGCGGCCGCTCCCCGGCGGCGGCGGCTGGGCTCCGATTCCGGCCGAATCCGCCGGCGGCGGGATAGGGCGGGGCGTAGCGGCGTGTCGTCTCGTCGCCGACGCCTATGCCCTCCCACGCCGGCCGCGTCCGAGCTCTCGGTGCTCCTGCGGTCTCGGCTGCTACGCCGCCCCCTCCGGTTTGGGATTCTGATTACTGTTGCCTGTTGGCTTCGCTCTTGCTTCTCTCTCTCCTCTTTGTTTGTTTGTTGTGGTGTGCTTTCGGTTATTTAAATCGTCAAATGGGGGAAGTGGGAGCGCCTGCTTATATACGACGCCATGGCCGCCAGTAGTGATTAGTGAAGAGGGATTAACACTTAATTAGTGTAGATTATTTATGTTTATTTACAACAGTTTATTGCTAGAGTACAGTGGTACGCCTAATTTGCAACAGTTTATTTATGTTTGTACTAATGACGACATAATAGCGAATTAATCGCTCTCATCAGCATTAACCCCAAATATCCGTACTGATTTGATGTCCAAACCGAAAGCGGTTTCCGTCATCCCGCACCCAATTCTTCATTTCCACCAGATTTTTAAATCGTCGTCGTCAAATTATGGTCTAGACTGCTACACACCACGTAGTGTTACAAATTAATTGAGGGCCTGATATATATCATGGAGCATGATTAGATTTGGAGGTCACATCACGATGTGTTTCGTGCCCGTGCCCGTGCCCGATGATTTATAAATCCGCACCGCACGTCTCGCTTGCTATGTGCAGCCAAAGCACCCACACATTTCCTGACGGTTCCTCTTTCTTTAGTTTCGCGTGCGTGTGAATGATGCTTTTTGGCTTCGCGGGAACACTTTGGCGATCCAAAAGGAGCCGATAAAAACTTATCCTGTTGCGGTCGAGAAAAAAGAGGGCCTATTAATGGCAAGAGGAGAGGATGGTGAGGTGATGGTTCAACGGTCCTGTTTGGATCATGGAGTTAGAGCTAGTTTGGGTTAGTTGGGCGCTCAAATAACCCAAAAGTATTCAAACAGGGAGGGTTAAGTGAGTTAATTCCATCTAACTCAACTATCTCGGTGGAGAGGTGCTTATTTGGATTAGAGTGGGTTAGCAAATAACTCTAACTCTAACTGTGTTAGAGTATCCAAACAAGGCCAACGTCTTCGTTCTTGGTTGGTTGGTATGGTCGGTCTGCGGCACTGTGGCTTTATACAATTCCAAACAAGCTTTTGTTTCTTGCCACCAAATACCTGGTGGTACGCGTAGACGAATGCTGACGAGAAGCGATCCTATCTTTAGGTTTGAATTATGGTTGTGTGCATCGTAGGCAAGAGCTATTCCTTTTTTAGCACATCTTCAACGGTAACCCGTAAAAATTCTCCCGCATCCGTTCGAGGATAGGGGGGGCAGTCCACGAACATGGATGCGGGAGGTTTACATCCAACGCTAGTCGCATATATTTCAAACTCCTTTTTAACAAACTGCATGAAATCATGCAAACACGACCGGACTTTGTACAAACATGACGGATTTTATACAAGCCGGACGAGAACGATTACATTTTGAACATATTTTCAACTAAAAAGTTAAAACCATGTGTACGTACAGTCACGCGGAGCTCCACTCCCACGAGACGGATACACTGTACTAGTCTATGGCCGACCGCAACTTGTCTTCCCCATGTCCGACAACCCGGAATAACCGGACTGCCGGTAGCCCCGGAGGCATGTTCTTCCCCCATATCTTCCCTATGTCCGGATGTGCCACTCATCGGTGTGGCAAAGAGGGTGCTTCAGCCGGAGGGAAAGGGTGCTTCTGTGGAGCTCAGGCGGGTGCTCAGGATGGTCTGAGATAAAGGAGAACCGACCGGGTATCCGGCGGTGGCCTTCCTGGAACCACTGTCTAGGCAACAAAAGTGTCGCTACTCCTATCCAAATGATGAAGGGATACTCATAGTCTGGGTCTAATATCAAACAGACCTCGCAGCCATACCTAACATCTAAGACCTGAGGTCCCAACCATGACGCCTGCCGGGTATGGGCACCCACCAGTCCGGCGTGCTCCTCAACCAAGACGCCTGCCGGGTATGAGGCCGCCGTAGCCACCTGCCACCAATCCATCTTCAGAGTTGTACTGCTGCATGAACCTTGCCCGGTCTAGCTGCCGCCGGCGCCACCACGACACCAGACAGCGTCGACCTCCGGCGCGAGTCCATCATCACACATCAGACGCCTAATCTCCAGAGCGTCGTGCCATCGAGATCCGACACCATCAATGTGTGTGATGAAGCACCACTCTCCTCTTGTCACCTTCAGCCATCACTTGCTCCAAAACGATGCCCCAATGAGGGAAAGCGCTACTAAGAACGCCATCATCGTCCGATCCGGGAGACCCAGATTTAGGGTTTCCCCCGGAGCATCCCGAGCCTGATGAAGCAAACTGCAACGACGATGCCTCGACAAGGGAACAACATCTAAGACGCCGCCATCGTCCGCCATGACCGTAGTCGACGCGATTTTCGTCGGCAGTTGCTCCACCAGACGTGCGCCGCCAGCGTCGCTGATCCCTTCAACCGGAGTAAGCTCCAAAACGATACCGTGAAGAGGGGTTACGATGCAAAAGCACCGCCATCGCTCAATCCCAAGGAGATCTAGGGTTTCCCCTGGAGTTGCCCGTGCTGTCAAGGACCAGACAAGGGAAGAATCTCTGCGGATCCGCCCAGCTACCGACGAGCGGCACCCACCACTACGCCGACAACAATCCAGTGACCAAGGCCCACGCCTGGACCCAGATCCGGCCATGCCGCCGCGAACCCATCTGGTCACGCCGCCGCCATCCCTGGCGACCGCGACGCACCAGACCATGAAGCCTCCTGCCGCGGGGGAAGAGAACCGCCGAAGCGCCGCCACCACCCGCCATGGCGTCCGGCCTGGGGGCGCCGGCCCGCGCCAGCCCCATAGGAGCGGGAGGACCACAAGTCCCCGCTGCCGCCGGCAACGGCAAGGCTTCGCCTGGCCGTGCCCTTGGGCGACGGCGAGGAAGGAGGAGGAGGAGAGGTGGAGACCGGCGATGGGATCTGGGAGCCTCCCGGCCGCCACGCGGGGGGCGACGCGGTGTTCACTCGGGATAGATAGATGCACCCAAGCAATCCATAGCATAGGTAAACCTGGTTAGGTTCAGGCTAATGCACCACCTTTCTTAATCATCATCTGTCCAACAGGTTAGTGGGTAGTACTCCGTTATTGAATGGCTGTAGGACCGTCTTCTTCCTAATGGCAACTGCTGGTTACTGCTGCTGATGGCTCTCCTCCATACGTCTGTGCCACACCGACACCCGAGCTTGAATTCCTTCGAGGTAGCGATCGAGAACAAGAACACGGGAATATGCCATGATTTTGCTCCTTGGCTTTCTTGTTCTTGACCACGTTCAGAGTTCACATGATTGAGTACTGGAGATGTAGTTACTGCTCCTGACACTGTGGGATTAAATTTCCATGGACGACGAGCGTGATATCCATTCAATGGAGAAGAAGAGTCGTCAGCACAGTGATGGCAGCCGAAGCAAATAGCTCAGCTGATTCACCAGCTGTGTAGCGCTCGAGCCCTCCACCCAAGTTGATGACAAGTGGGCCCCTGTGACCAGGGGCAGGTGTGGCAGGTTGTCCATTGAGTATATAGCAAAAAACTATCACATTACAGGCTATCGTTTCAAAAAACTACCGTTTTTTTTAATCTTTCAAAAAACTACCACAAAAGTGATGGGCTGTTCCAAAAGCCCAAATGACCAAGCAATTGGGAAATAATCCAGTTTATGACAGGTCGGGCCCGCTCCTAAACAAACCGTTAGTTGACTGTTTGTTTGACCATTAACTTACATTTGGATCCCACATGTAAGTACTCTCTCTCTCACCCTTATCTTCCTTCTCTCCCTCTTCTTCCCTATCACTCTCCCGAGCCATTGCTGGGCACCATCACGGGCTGCCGCAGTCAGCACCACACCAGGCACAGCCACGGCCACCGCCACCTGGGCCGGCCACCACCATGCTATGGACACGAAGATGGGAAGAGGGCGGCGGATGGGCAGCTCAGAGCGGCCCGCTGGTGGTCGGAGTTGAGCTCGTACTCCATGGCAGCACCCACGCCGCCGTCTCCTGCTACGCTCCGCGCCGCCGCAGAGAGGAGGTGAAGGAGCTCCGCCCCGCCGCCTGCTTAGCTCCGCGCCGCCGGACGCCACAAGGACGCGCCTAGCTTAGCTTTGCGTCGCCAGACAGCTCCACGCCGGCTGGACGCGGCTCTGCCTAGATCCGCCCAGCAGAGAGGAGGAGGAGGAGCTCCGCGCCGCCGGACAGCTCGAGCACGGGCGGGGAGCAGCCAAGCAGCACGGCCGGTTCCAGCCCGCTGCCGCTGCTGATTCCCGCCGGCCATGGCTGTCGCAGCCAGCAGCCATCTTCTCCAGGCGTGTTGCTGGCCGGCCCTGGCGACGAGCTCGCCGGCGTGGTGCTGGCCGGCTCCGGCGAGGAGCTCGCCAGCGAGGA